GCATTGACTTTGATTACGAATCAAGATTGAAGTGTTGGTAGAATTATCTTGGAAATGAGGGAGCATGTATTCGAGTATATGCCCTAGCCATGATCAATGTGGAGAGAGAGATACAAGACTTAAACCACCACGCTTTCCATGTCTGTGATTTGACGTGATCTATGAGACGAAGAAGAGGTATCTATTTCTGTTTATTCTCAGCCTCGTCTCCGACATCATCGATTTGCTGGACGTTCTCGTTCTTGACCGAGCCCCCCTTTTCCAATTCGTTGTAGCCGACTGGGAGATGGTCTGCGATGCTCCTGTCGAACTCGGCCCTCTCTTCCTCGGACAGGTGAGTCAAGTCGAGGGCGACCTCGTCTCCGAAGAGCACGCCGATCTCTTCCAAGCTCAAACCCTTGGTTTCGGGGAAATAGAGGATGACCCACGGCACCATGAGAGACGTCACGATGATGAAGACGAGGTAGAACTTCCAGCCGATGTTATTGAATGCCGGGCCTGCCGCGGTCGTGTAGACTGTTACGGGAGATTTATTAGTACAGATGCCGCGTGCGTGACAGAGAAGATATGATCTTTGACTTACCGGTTGTCATCAAGAAGAGCCCGCTGACGGAGAATCCGACTCCACGGGTCCGCATATGGGTCGGGAAGATCTCAGCACAGTAGACGTAGCTGGTGACATCAACGCCGAGTCCGTAGCAGGTGACGAACAGGAAGATAAAAGCCACTGCGGCGCCAGAGCCCGCTTTGTTGGTGTTGCTAGGACCACCGTAATGGGCGACGAGGGCCGTGACGATGCAGACACAGATGATCGCTCCGATCTATTGCAAGAGAATTAGAATCCTGGTTATATATACCATGATTTCTCCCAATGAGGACGGGGGAAGCTCACCACTGCAGTTGTCACAATCCTGATACGTCCGAAGCGGTCGAGGATGAGAGCATTGATGTAGTTCAAAATAGCTGCCCATGAATTGTAGACGGCAAGAATTAGAAGGGGAGTCGAACCACTCAATCCCAGATTGTTCAACGTGGTCACCTACAAGGCCCGAGCGGTTAGAATGTACATGGTCGGGGTCATTGCTTGAGTATCTCACCATGTAGTTGGATATAACAAGGACACCAGTACTCTGGCACATGGCCTGAAGGAAGAAGCCGTAGAACAAGCGCTTCCTGTAGGATGGGATCGTGAACATTTTGAAGAGACCCGGGACTCTGTTGGACCGTTCGAGGAAGAGTTGTCGTTGGATCTGGACAAACTCCTCTCGCGCTCCGATGTCGTGGACATCGTGCTTGTTCTTGTGAAGCCGGACCAGAATGTCCAAGCCTATTGTTCATTTTCCTCAGTAAGGGCACGTCGTTGGTAGGTCTTTTAGAGAGAGATGGTTCATACCTTCCTGCGACCTTCCGTTCTCAATCAACCATCGAGGTGATTCGGGGATTAGGGGACTTCCAAGAAGCAGTAATAAGGGAGCAACGATCTGAAGGGCGACCAAAAGTCGCCATTGGATGGCCGGGTTGTCCTCATAATAGATGCCAAAGCCAGCCCAGCCGGCTGCGCCCTGTGAAAGATGTCAGCCTTTTTTTAGATCCCCGTAGACTTCCTCGGGGAAGTTGAACGTACATATGAGCAACAGATGATGAAGCCGTGGGAGCCCACAACCAGACCTCTCTGAGCAGCTGGTGAGATCTCGGAAATGTAGGTGGGAATGGCACAGTTGATCATGCCCACGCCGAAGCCGTTGAGGAATCTTCCCACCAGAAACATGGCAATGTGCACAGATCCAGCTTGAATGGCAGCTGATACAATGCAGATTGCCGCAATCACCTGGATCGCAACCTTGCGGCCGAACTTGTCTGCAAACCAGAAGACAGCCCAACATCCCAAGACACCCGCGCCTGCGTAGAGCCCGTTACATGCACCGATGATGGAACCACCATAGGAGCTGGTGGCCACGAAGTCAAAGTAGGCGTAGAATGATGGCATGCCAATTACGGAGCCGATGATGGCCGAATTGAAGCCATATGTGAACGAGCCCAAGGCGACATAGAAGGCCACGGCGAAGTTGTATCGCGTGGCCTTTGCCCGATGGTCAGAGGCTGTCATTTTGGTCTCTTGATCGGGAAGTATGCGAGAAGAAGGCCAGTCACAGGATGCTGATGATCAATGGGAAGAGGTGGAGATGGAGTAATATATGGATAGGTCTCCCAGGTTCCACTTACACAACGTTCCCATGCATTCAGGGGGTGGAAATCTCGCACTCTGTTTTCCGACAGCCTGGCCAAGGGTCGACTGTACAAGCTATTGTTGCACTGTGGGTGCACCGTCACAGATCCGAAGCTATGTGATGCCTAGAGGAGGCAGGCTTGGGCGGTCATCGCTCAAGGGGGTGAGACCTACAGTACAGGGGACTCAGGTTAAGCTCCTCCACAAAGGGAGCCCCAGACTCCACTGTGCTTGACGCCTCCATCTGGGTCGTACTCCAGGTGTCTAGAGCCACGTGGAGGTAGTATCAGAGGAGAGCGTGGAACGGTAAATGAATGCCGTATAGCGACAGATCAGGCACTAATCTGACTAAACCGGTCGTTGTTATGCTGGAACCCTACAAATAGTAGGCTTGAGGCATCCGATCTAGATTTTATGCAATGGCAGATGGAAGGGTATTCTACAACTATATAGAGCACATTGGGACCAGATACCAAGGAGTGGTGGAGTAAGTAAATACGAGAGTCTGACGAGGCTGAGATTGGATGAATCATTTCTAACTGAACTTGGAGAGGAAATACGAGGAATTTCTCGTACTCGTACCATCATGAGCATTTGAATTTCTTATCATTATTATGCCTTGACTGCACAACCAAGACCGGATCTTCCACTTCCAGCCTCCCACCCTCCCTGCTCTGGTGTGCTAAAAAAAAAGGCACATCGTATCCGAATTACTCCACCTGCATGCCGAACAGATGAACCGAGGTGAAGGTAACCTTGATCCGTCTCCTCTCCGCCTCTACGTCGACCCCTCGAATTCCAAGCCTCGTTGTTGGGGATTTTCCCCGCAAACAGCGGAGATCAATGGCCGAGTCTTGTGAAGGTTGAGTGTGGATGGATGCTCTTCGTTCGCCGTTGGGTGTGCGGTATCTGGCAAAGAGAAGGAACATGTTCCAGCTGGGCCAACGTTATCAGCCGAGACAACCAACAGCCCTTGCATGAGCAGAAAAGATATTCCGTCTGTTTAGACCAGAATTCGTCATATTAAACACGCGTATGGAAGTATCGGGCTGTTGATATTGATTGTCGCAGATACACCCAGACCCTTGGCTGAGATTTCCTCCAGACCGGTGACTGACTGCTCTTGATTCGTCGATTGGAAACTCCTATTTCATCGATCCCCCTTGTTCTGACCAGCATTGAGAAAATGGCGACAATGAAGGCAGCTCGTTATCATCCTGTACATACCTTGTGCCCCTCAACTCCCGAAGATACGTACTAACACTGGCCAGGAGACGAATACGTGTACGGTAGATGAGATCCCAATCCCAAGCATAGATGACAATGAGATCCTGGTCAAGGTTGCTTCTGCGGGCTTGTGCCACTCGGATCTCATGTTGTTTGATGGATCCATTCCCGCCACAGAGCCCGTAGTCATGGGCCACGAGGGCGTCGGCTATGTGGAGAAGCTCGGTGCAAATGTCAAGGGCTTTAAGCCTGGTGACCGCATTGGCTTCCTCTATATCAAGGGAGTCTGCTGTAAGTTGGACGGGAATCTACCTGTCCTGTCCCAATGGTTGAATATCCGTACAACAGACTAATGCTGCCATAGTCGAGTGCGAAGGATGCCAGGTGCACAATCTCAACTGTAAACTGGGCACCGCAAGACTCCAGGGCTTTGGAACCGATGGCTTCTTCGCCGAATATTCTGCTGTGGATTATCGCAATGCCATTATCCTCCCAGATAATCTCCCAATGGAAACCTCAGCACCATATTTCTGTGCTGGTATTACAGGTGAGTGCTTACCTCTGTGCTCTCTGTCTTCTATCACACCTTTGAGGGCATTGACACTGATCATAACCTGGCAGCCTTCCACGGCGTTGATTCGTGCGGTCTCAAGCCTGGTCAATCTATAGTGATTGTGGGCTGCGGAGGTCTGGGACAGATGGGGATTCGATTCGCCAAAGCCATGGGCCTGAAAGTCATTGGACTTGATATCAATGATGAAGTCCTCGCAGCGGCAAAGGAGAACGGTGCAGATGTCCTGGTCAACAGCAGAGACCCGGACTATGAGAAGAAAGTCAGAGACGCTACCGGGGGTGGCGCGGACGCCGCTGTTGTCTTCAGCGCTGCCCAGGCTGCCTACGACAGCGCGACTAAAATCCTACGCCTCCAAGGGATCCTGATGGTTATCGGTCTTCCCTCTAAACCTCTTCAGTTCAATTCCTTAGAGTTGATGAGAAAGTTATACCAGATCAGGAGCGAGAGTACGGGCCCTCCACAACAGATGCCACGGGCCATTGAGTTCATTTCCAAGCATGAAATCAAGCCCAAGGTTGAGCTGTACAAGCTGGAACAGATCAACGAGATGATAGATCTGATGAAGAGTGGCAAGTCAAAGTCGAGAATGGCGGTAGTCTTTTAAGCGGTCAATGATATGCCTGTCTCTGGTTGATCTGTTCTGCCATGGCACTTCTGCTATAGATCTAGACTTTTCTGAACCATGACGCGGTTTCCTGCTAAGCTGTAATCAATGGCACCCTTTCCGTGAGCAACTCTTCGCTACCTGTCCCGTGGAGTTTGCAATTCTATTCCGGTATGTCTGGAAACATGTCCTTATTTCCCCATCCCTGAGCCTCCGGCGGTGAACAATCGCCGGAGCGATCCCCGCAGGCTAAAAAGCAAATGTAGCCCCTTCTATGCGCGGACAGAAAGTCTGGGACAAGCTTCACGACCAGCTTACCAACTTGGCTTTGGGATGTTTGAGGGAGCTGACCTGTGACAGACAACAGAATGTTGGCCGATAAAGTGTCTGAGGTGCAAGGACCAGATCTCCACATTCCCATCCCGATACTTCACGACTTGATAGTCTCGTCGGTGGCCCAACATGGAGACAAGGTAGCCATAGTATGCAAACATCAGCCTGCAGACCTCTTTCCAGCGGTAAGCAGCTACGGAGACTCCAGCATCAAAACGACGGAGAGACCATATCTTCAATGGACTCATTCCCAGCTTCAATACGGTGCCGACCTCCTTGCTCATGCCTTGGTCAAGCAGGGACTGAGTCCCGGGTCGCCGATTGCTGTGCTACTCAGCGGAAGAGTTGAATTTCACATGCTGTTACGAGCAGCAGTGAAGCTGAAATGTCCATTCGCACCTCTCAATCTTCGAGCACCGCAAAATGCCAAAGAGATCAGGCATATGTTGACGTTGTCTGGCGCCAAAGCTGTCATTGTCGAGGATGAATCCATCGCCCACAGGCTCGAACAGACGGTACCTGACTTGATGCGGGAGATGCAGGTGAAGGCTATGGCCGGACCAAAGTCTACGGTCGATTCATACTTGTCACTCAACGAGTTGGTGTCCTCTGCCGCGGAGGACGATAGTTTCCAGGAGACACAGAGGGCCTTTGGCCAGGTCGAGCGCCATTTGGACGATACAGTGTTTATCTGGTTCACCTCAGGCACGACAGCACTGCCAAAGGCGGCGCCACACACTAATAAATCGCTCACCTGCAATGTCCGATCATGGGGAGCAGTATTCAATCTGGATAGCACCCGTCGATGGCTCCAGATCCTCCCCATGAACTCGATCGTCGGCAGTTCATGGACACTCGCGTATCTGATCCCAGGAGGCAGCGTCACGCACGTCAACTACAACTTTGATGTCCAATCCATTGCCGCCGCAGTCAAGGAAGGAGAACACACCGACGTGCTCGCAGTCCCATCCATGATCGATCTCTTAGCCTCTTCTCCGATACTCACCGAGTCGTCAGTCAAAGGTATTGAACACGTCATTGTGGGTGGGAGCAAGATCCTTCGATCGCACGTCGAAAAGGCCTTCAACGTAATGAAATGCAGGCGTTTCAGTCCCTTCTTCGGAATGACTGAAGGCACATCGGTCTGCACGGAGACACTTTACAGCGTCCCAGAGAGTCTGGATGATCCCATCTACGCGGGCTACGCCAACCCAGGGAGCAAGATCAGGATCTGTGCGCCCGAGGGGAACGAGCCTGTCCCTAGAGGTGTACCTGGGGAAATAGTCCAGGGTGGCTTGCAGAAGATCGAAAATTATCTGGGTGGTCAAGGTAAAGACAACTTTTTCACGGATAAGGGAGAAACTTGGTATCGGTGCGGCGACCAGGCAGTCATGTTGCCCAACGGAAGGATTGCCATCATCGGACGGTATAAAGGTACGAAGCCCTATCTGCATTTCGGTCTCTTCAGTTGCATGGAGCTAATCTGATCTTATTGCTGGCAGACATGATCATCAGAGGTGGCATGAATATAGCTTCTGCAGCTGTTGAAGCCATTATATCCGAAGGAACAGGCATAGACGTGAGTACTCAGCCGTGGCTCGGTTTGGGTCCTTCTACATCGTCCTTCTGGAGCTAATAATACTTGCAGTCCCAAGTAATTGGGATCCCGGACGAGGTCGCCGGAGAGGTTCCCATCGCAGTGATCAAATACTCGGGAGGAGACAATGGCGTCGCGATCAAAATCCAGAGATGCGTACTCGAGAGAATGGGACCCCCTTACGCACTAGAGCGAGTGGTCAACCTAGCTGATCTGGGGCTGGAAGACTGGCCCAAAACGAGCTCCGGCAAGGTTCTCAAGCGAGAGCTACGATTGTTGATAGAGAAACTGCTTCCGTCAACAGACTCCAAGCCGAGCGAGAACCCACGGAACGGAGAGTATCTGCGGGACAAGATACAGATTGACGAAGCTCAATTGCAGAACCACCTGCTCAAACGAGTGCAGCAGCAGGGAATCCTAGTGTCGGACATTGACGAGAATTTCCACGACGCTGGCATGGACAGTCTGCTTGCACTCAGACTGAGGAATGCCATCGATCGAGACCCGGACTTGGGTATACACGCAAAGCTACGGGCAGAGGATATATTTCAATATGGTACCGTCCGGCTCCTGACAGCGCACTTGATAACCACTACAAGCAAGACATCTGGGATAACCTTGTCTCACCTCGATGCCCTTGTTGACGAAATGGATGCCATGGTCGAGAAATATGGCGACTTCCGTGTTCACCAGGCTTCGGAGGGCGTGGTCGCTCAGAAAGAAACAGTGGTAAGGAGACCTGTTGTCCTGTAAGCAGTTGATGTACATACTAACAACCAGTCCAGCTCCTCACTGGTGCAACTGGTTCTCTAGGAGCTCACATCCTTTCCCTGCTGATCGAGAGGGACGACGTTAGTACAATATACTGTCCCGTAAGAGGTTCTGCACCGGCAAAGCGCCTGGAAGAATCGCTTAGCAAGAGGTTTCTGGAGGCCTCGAAATACCATGAAAAGGTCAAGATTATCCAAAGCGAGGCAGGAAAGTCATGGCTTGACACGGACGGGGCCACGAAAGAAGCCCTGTTGTCCAGCCTAACTCTCATCATTCACGCTGCGTGGCCAGTGAACTTTCACCTCCCGCTTGCATCGTTCCGCCCTCATCTCAGAGAGCTCCAGGGATTAATTCAGTTGTCGTTGGACGTGCGATTATCGCAGCCTGCACGTGTCATGTTCTGTTCCTCGATGGGCGTTGCACTCAGCACTCGAGGCCAAAAGAGGATTGCAGAAGAACCTATCATGGACTTTCGACAAGGCATGAGTAACGGATATACACAGTCCAAGGTTGTCGCAGAATATGTTGTGCAGAGGGCCATCGAAGACTTTGGTGCTCTGGCGTGCAACCTGCGCATTGGCCAGATCGTGGGAGACACCAAGCATGGGATCTGGAACGAACATGAGGCCATTCCGCTCATGATACGCTCTGCGCTCAGTATAGGGACTTTGCCCGCCCTGGACATGGTAAGTCGACCCAAATCTGCACCCCATATTTTGAGAGACACTCATTCTAAACTCCTGGGTGAATCTAGAAGTGTTCGTGGATCCCCGTCGATACGCTGGCCAGAGCCATCATCGAGATTGCGACAATAACAAATGGCCAACATCCGCCACGTGTAGTCTACAACATGTGTAGCAGACACAACTTCTCCTGGACGGAGGACCTACTACCGGCACTCGCCGATGCGGGACTCAAGTTCGAGACCGTACCGTTTGCAGAGTGGATTGCAGGGCTGAAAAGCTACAGCTCTACCCAGGGGTTGGAAGCTGCAAGCTTGCATTGTCCGGCCATCAAACTAATCGATTTCTGGGAACGGTCGTATGGCGGCAAAGAGAGGCAGCACGACGGAGGCCTCCAATTCGACACCCGCCAAGCACAGGCGGTTAGTAGAAGCATGGCGACTGCTCCTGACGTGGTCCAAAGTGGCTTGGTCAAGATCATGTTGGATTCATGGATGCAAAACTGGGGTGGTCACGGTGATACCCCGCCCATTGCGAACGGCAAAGTCTAGGCGCGGGCATTGGGCACGAAGGCGAGGTGCCCGTGCTCATCGGTAAGTACCTAATAGTACCCACGACCCAGTAGGATGCTTTCACGGACGATCGAGAACTTGGGAACTTTAAAACACCTGGTCGTCAGGACCAGTTGAAGAAACAAAGCCACGCTCATTGCGGGTCATCTTGGCCACGGGTTGAAGAGGTCTTATTGGGTGCAAATGCGGGTCAGCCGAAGTCGACTTTGCGGCAGGAATCCAGGCGTGCCAGGACTTGGGGATTTCGGTGAATGAACTCCGTTGAACTACGAAGTTTGCCGCTCTTCCGGAGATTCAGACAAAACAACCTTTGACCTACACCTGCTCTGTCGTAGGTTAAATTGGTGTACTGAATCCGGTAGAATGGTCGTTATAGCTGGAGAGAATCGAAAAGAGTGCTCGCTCTCCTGATAAGTAGCAGACATGGCAATAAAAGGAACCCCAGCAGCTCCGGGATGCGGAAGCGCAACGAGCAGGTTGAGGAGCCACGGACCCTGAATTTCGTCGGTGCAGGTGCCCCCACTCGCTTAGATCCATTCTGGATTACAACCAATAGATATTGAGAGTAAACTACCCCAAGTGGGTCACTGGCTCTCCGCAACCATGACCCCGGTTTCTCCGCGCCGCCAGGCGAATCGCCCGAGGATCACGAAAAGGAAAAGCGACGTGTAGCCCGTAGATAGCTACGAGTACTTGGTAGGCCGACAGCAAAAGTAATTCTCATCCCTCTTCTAATCCCTCCCTGCACAATTTCTCTCGCCTTCCTCGACGCTTGATAGACTCTCTTGAGGTAGAAAACCTCAACACGTTTCCATACTGATAAATCTATCTTCTCGCCCTCCCTTATTTTCAACCATGCTCGCCAGTCCCTTCGCCTCTGGTTTCTCGCCTGCCCCGGCAGAAGTCCACGAGGACACGACTAAGAGTCCACATGGAACGCCGCCGTCCGACCCAAATGATGCAGAAAGCACGTGTGCCGCAGACGCTCGCGTGCGAAAGTCGGGAGGACCTAAGAAGCGATTGTCGTCTGCACCAAAGAACCAGACAAGAAGCTCGAAGACCTTGGCATGTCTCAACTGTCGACCCCGGAAGATCAAGGTCTGTGACATGCGTCCTGGATGCTGGCGAGTGCCGTAGTTCTAACACTCGTCATAGTGTGAACGCATTGGGGGTACTTGCGAGAGATGTCGAACGTTAGATATTCCGTGTAGATTGCCTGATCGCGACGAACGGCGGGTGTGAGTTATTTCACTGCAAAGCCACGATCCAAGCGCGTGAAGGCTGACCCCAGGATATTCCAGGCGCTATTCAAAGGACTACATCATCCAGCTCCAGGACCAGATCGCCGAGCTGCGAAGCACCGTAGCAACGATGCAAGCAGCATACACCTCGTCCAAGTCACCGCCGCAGACACTGCAATGGCCCGTCGCAGTCTCGGCGTCGCCACCACAGCTGCAAGCCCAGTTTCAACCACCGCCGCCATTGCCGCCGCAGCCACCGGCTTCCGATTCACTGGGCTCGCCCACGTTAACGACGGACGACTCTAGCGCGATTGGAGAAAGACCCAGCAAAGGGACACCAGAATCCGAACCGCCAGAGAGCCTGATCAGCCGCTTGTGTGACGCCCAAGGACGACTCAACAGCAAGGACGACGGTCAGCTGCGGTATTTCGGGCCCACATCAAGCCTCCATTTGACCGAGAGTGTCACCACCATCTTCAAATATTGCAGCGACGTCTCCAAATTTGGGGCCGAGTTTGAAAAGGATGTCCCCTGGGCAATGCAGCAGTATCTCCTGGATCTCTATTGGAAGTACCAACACAACATCCTGCATATTATCCACAAAGAGGCTTTCCTCGCTGGAATGCAGGCCGGGTCGGGGCCATACTTCAGCCGCTGTCTCCTGCTGTGTCTCCTGGTTTCTGCTGCCCGGATCTCTGTGAGCCCGGAGATCAGAGCCCTATCTGTGCCAGCGGACGACGACGAGACTGGCGAGAAGCCGATTTTAACTAAGAGGGCTGAGGAGGCATTGGAGGAGGAGCTCTTGAACCCGGGCCTGACGACCATTCAATCGTTGATGCTGCTGAGTATTCTGGACTGCTGTCAGTCGAATGATTCGCGAGGATGGATGCGCTCAGGTACTTCACCCTCCCAAGCTCCTTCTGACACAATAGCTGATTGGTGCCTATTAGGAAATGCATGTCGACTAGCCTTTGATCTTGGTCTTCATGAGAACTGGTCTCGGATACCCAACACCAAACTCTCTCCTCTCGACCTCGAAGTCAGACAGGTCATACTCTGGGGATGTGTGGGTTTTGACAGGTACGCGGTCCATATCCAGTCACGCTTACACATCAGAGACTGACGATGCTCTGTCCAGGCTCTGGGCGCTCTATCTTGGCCGGCCACCGGTCATCAAGTTGAGCGATGTTTCCATTGACCGGCCCAATAGAAATGCCCCTACATGGGACATGAAGATGTTTGCTGCGTGGGCCGAACTGCTAGAGCTTTCAGGTCACATGAGCGAGAAACTGTACGTTGTGCTAGACACCAGGCGAGGCGACTTCGTGGGACTAACGAGCTCGATCAGAAACACCAATACCTGCTTTCAAGAACAAATCGACTTCTTCACCGAGGCGCTACAAAGATGGGATGCCAGCCTTGATCATACCTTGACGTTCTTCCCCAATGCCCCTCCGGGTATTTATCTGTTGCGGTAAGACGGCGTCCTACATACTCTCTCTGTCTATCAACGGCTTCGGGCTCACGTCTAGTGACTCTGTAGGATCCAATACTCGGCCCTGATGATCTTGGTCAACCGACATAACGCGGGCTACGGCAATCCGGAGAAACGGACCTGTCCAGCCTCGAACCGGTCGCGCAGTATCTGCCTGGAACATGCGTTTACCATTTCCAACCTAGTGATAAGCTACGCAACTCATCACGGTGAAGCCAACACGATGCTAGGCTCCACCCTGTACAACATCACCATGGCCTCGACCATTTTCGTGGCCGAAATCAACGAGCGGAATCGACAGGAGGTGTCTGAAGAAACCGCTGCTCTTGGGGCATGCCTGAAAGCCATGAAGGAGATGGAGAGTGCCGAGATCGTGGCACGTAATCTCCGCAAGATTCTCCAGACCATCATGCGTGTGTGCCGAGTCTGCGACATTCCTGACTACGGCGAGCATCTGGAACAGTCGGCTGGATGGCAACGGCCCAAGACAAGCACTGAACTCGGTGGGACGGTCAACACTTCGACTGCTCTACCAACGACCAAACGACGAGACGACAGCACAAGTGACAGTGATAACGACTTTAATTGCCTCAATTTCGACACGCTGGCGTTTGACGGGGTATTCCAGCTGCCCTTTGACGACGCCCTGCTTGATCCGTCTTCAATGGGTGTATTCTTAACATAGCGAATAGCGTTGTATACAGGCGAATGAACACAGACATTATGGACGCTGTATGGTGTCTTGAATACCCACTTTGTAGGGCTAATCTATCTCCTTTGAGCGAGCCATAGAGCTGGTAAAACAAGATAGAACCCTCTTGATAGTCCTCAGCACTCAGACACTATCTGATTATCTTACTCTCGGAGAGCGTCTCGAAACAATCCACCCCTTGGCAATTTATCACCGCGCGCGTAACGCGAATATTCTACCGTAGTCTCGGAGACACTGAAAAAATCCCACATCCAGATTCCAGACCATTGGAGAAAAGCTGAACAAAGACCCTCCCAACAAGCCTCGCGGTGATTCAGAGGCCGCCCAGAGTGGAAACAGACGTTTTAACTCACGGGCAATGCATCTCTTTGCCCTCTGGACTTTGTTTCCTCACAGGACGACCTCGGTTAATGGCCGCCCTGGCATGCGGAGACATACGAGGTTGAGACACGGTGAATGGACTCCGAACGGAGGCGAAACCCAAGCACACCACGCGCGGAGAATACAATCCCCACGATTACGGCTGTTTCGAGACCAAGGGTTTCGAGGGGGATAATATGGGCTGCCAGCCCAATAGATCACTCAGTCCAGTGGCCTATATAACCAGCCCGGAAACCTGGACTTGTTGCCTTTTGACGCTAGATTTCTCTCTCAACCCAATATAAGAACAAGACGAGGAAGAGGAAGAGCATCTCGCCTTTGAGCAGGAAGAGGTGACTTGATTCCCTACCTAACAGAAAGACAATCTAGTTTCCGTCTCCTTACAGATATACCACAGACATGGGATCTATCACCCCCGCGTCGGATCGCAAAGACGCCATCGTCATTGGCGCCGGCTTCTCTGGCATCTACCAACTGCACAAGCTCAAGGAGGCCGGCTTCAATGCCCGTCTCTACGAGGCCGGATCCGGCCCAGGCGGCATCTGGTACTGGAACTGCTACCCCGGGGCCCGCGTCGACACCCCAGTTCCCACGTACCAACTGACCTCAGACGACAGCTGGACTGGCTGGAACTGGTCGCAGCGGTTTCCCGACTGGTCGGAGCTGAGGAAGTATTTCCAGCACCTGATCAAGGTGTGGGATCTCGGCGACCTGATCACCTACAACACGCGCGTCCAGAGCATGCAGTGGGACGACCAGGCGCACGAGTGGCGCCTGTCCCTCAAGAGCAGCACGACGGGCGAACAGAGCGAGGACGTCGCCCGCAACGTGGTGGTGTGCACCGGCTTCGGGTCGAAACCATACATCCCAGACTTCAAGGGCTTGGACAAGTTCAAGGGAGAAATCTACCACACTGGCCTGTGGCCGCAGACGGGCGTTAACATGGAGGGCAAGCGGGTCGCCATCATCGGCACCGGCGCCAGTGGCGTGCAACTGATCCAGGAGACGGCCAAGGTGGCCAAGCACCTCACCGTGTTCCAGCGGACGCCTAACACGGCGCTGCCCATGCGGAACGACAAGTACGACCAGGTCATGAACGACGCGTGGAAGAAGACGTTCCAGAACACAAAGGACACCATCCTCAAGACGTACGCCGGGTTCGACTACGAATTCAGCCCGGAGTCGGCGCTCAAGGTCTCGCCAGAGGTCAAGGCCGAGTTCTACCAGAACCTGCTCAAGAGCGGCGGCCTGCACTTCTGGCTGGGCACGTACTCGGACGTGCTGTTCAACGAAGAAGCCAACAACGAGGCCTACGAGGTGTGGCGACAGAGCGTGCTGCCACGGATCAAGGACCCGCGCAACCAAGAGATCCTCGCGCCCAAGGTACCGCCGCACCCGTTCGGCACCAAGCGTATCAGTCTGGAAAAGGGCTACTTTGAACTTTTTAACCAGGACAATGTCGACCTGGTCAGCCTGGCGGACAACCCGGTCGTCGAAGTGACGGAGAACAGCATCAAGACGGCCGACGGCACTGTGGCTGAGGTCGACATGATCTGCATGGCGACGGGCTTCGACAGCGTCACTGGCGGCATCACGGCGATTGACATCCGCGGCGTCGACCCCAAGCAGACGATCAAGGACAAATGGACCCAGGGAACGTACACGCTGTTCGGCCTCGCCGTGTCGGGCTTCCCCAACATGTTCCTGATGTACGGGCCACAGGCGCCGACGGCCTTCGCCACGGGCCCCTCGTCGGCCGAGTGCCAGGGTGACTGGATCACGGCGTGCATCGAGTACCAGCGGGACCACAACATCACCAAGGTCGAGGCGACGCGGGAGGCCGAGCAGCAGTGGCGCGAGCACACGCTCGAGATGGGCGAGAAGGGCCTGTTCACAAAGGCAAAGAGCTGGTACTACGGCGACAACATCCCCGGCAAGCCGCGCGAAGCCCTGAACTACATGGCCGGCCTGCCGACGTACCGAAACAAGATCTGGGAGTCGGCCAAGGACAACTACAAGGGCTTTGAACTGACTGCTTAGATCAGTAAGGCTGGATGTTGTGGCCATCCAGGTATATACCAGTACGTAGATCTTGTGGCTCACTAGCATTCAGGGGGTTCCCGGGGAGGAAGGGGACGTGGGAACGTGTTTTCGGGTAGCAAACTTGTGTGTTGATTTCGAATTGTCGTGGTTGCAGGTCGTCAGGTTTCATAGTCCCAAATACAATTCAAAAATTTCAAAATATCTCTTGGAAAGTTGATTCTCTGGGTATCTATGTGTGCTACATGAAGTGTAACCTCACCGTCGATATATCACTTCATACCCAACCAAGTCCTATAATACCTTGACACTTGCCGAGACAAGATAGAAGACGGTGTTTCAAGGTCATCGAGCAGGGAAGAGTACAAACAGGATAAACTTTCTTTTCATTGCCTATACTCTCAACAAAGAAGAATAACCTGTTGTTTTCTTCACATTGCTTCCTCCTTGATTGATCAACGGCCTCTGGCTACCTCGAAAAGGCTATATTAGAAGCACCGTTCTTCACGTCTTCATCAGAGGCTCCACTGCTTCCTGTTCGAGATCGCGGTCCCGGTTCGACAGCGTGGCCATGGTGGTCCATGTCTTCTTCCCAAATCCACAACGACCTTGGAGATAACACCAGACACCAACCAAGAGAACCACGGCCGTCAAGCTCCCAAGCCCGAGCACAATATTCAAGCATTTGGATTTCGTGGCCCCACGGTGACCGACATCCAGGCCAGGGGCAACATACACGAGCATGATCCCCATGACGGGCTCGAGGGAACCATCCATCATCCCCATGGGCTCGTGCACGCGGGTGTCATAGTATGCAGTAATAGACCATTCGTCCTCTGGAGTTGTTTCTGTCATCAATGCACAAGACTCAATGCTAGAGACGTGTTCCGTCATCTTCCCCTCGCCCAGGTAGCGATACTGATTGTAAAAAGCCTTCACACTGCACACGGCCTTGCCGTTCTTGAGGAGATCGATGTGTGTTCCCCCGTCATGCAAGTGGCCTCCGACGAAGGCGACTATGCCCTGTGGCGAACCCTTCAAAATGGGGCTGGAATAGTTGAACGCCGAGTCTCGATAGGCGGGTACGTCCGAGGTTCTGCATCCTCCAACATCCATCCAGTAGGGCGTGAGCGCAGTGAAATATTGAACATGGCGACCCTGGATATACTCGTAAGTTATTGTAAAAACAATGTCCGTCTGCGGTTCCGAGTGCAGCATGTTCATCAGATCAATAGCCAGGGCGACCTCATCCGACCGTCCGATGTAGTAGCCGGCCTTGACGGACCTGGAGAGGCTGTCAGTCAAATTTCACAACCTACTGAACTCGGAACAAAACCTACCCTCCAGCAGAGAAGTCAATTGCCGTCCTTTCATTCCCCGAGGCTGCAAATCTCTGGCCATATGACCTTTTGCCGCACACAGCATCCGTCTGGTTCCTGTTCACCATTACTCCATGGTGAAGCCACATGCCAGTATCGGCATCAGCAACGCGTCCGTCAGCATGCTCAAGGCCCATCTCCAGCAGGGTAACGACACAGTCGCGGCACGGCAGTGTGGTCGAGGGTTGGAAATATTGAGCCATGCCATCATGCTCGGTCATTGGAGGTACGGAGACCGGTGCATATTTGATCGTGACTCTCTCGGAACCATACTCAGAAAAGTATGAAGCCGCATGAAAGACCTTGGTTACCTCTGTTGGAAAAACAATGTGTCAGAATCAAGTGTACCGTCCGAGTGGGTAATGTTCTATTCGTGTCCCTACCAAGAGGAAGTGGTTTCCCACGCCCATGTCCGGCGTGGGCATATGCCGAAAAGCACAAGAGACTGAGGAGGTAGAAGGTGAGGACTGCGGCCATTGCGGATTGTCAATTGTCCCCTTGCTCTGGACACGACAGGTGTCTCAGAGACGATATCAGCATGAATTCAGCTTTCCGGGATGCATTCGAGACTAAAAGTGAGCGGCATTAGGCAGACGAGAAAAGCTGAAACCCAAAGACCGAGCTTGATGACGCAGCGTGATAAGGGACGAATAGATGAGAACTCGGCAATTAACCAATGGCAGATGCAGGACGCTCTCCCACTCCGCCCAAAACAGAAGGTTGCATATTTGCAACATGGTACAACAGAGAAATCTTCAGCCCTTGATCCGTAGGAGTGCGGCCTGGCCTTGGTAGGGCTGTGGCTGGCGCCTCGACTTGCAGAGTATGGCTTCCATGACGGTCTAGCCGTGTGAATCAGAAGGCTGAATATTTGCCGTATCGGGGAAGCGGGGTGTCGAACCATTAATATACTTCTCCTGTCCATGCTGTGAAACCACTGGGCTCTGACGGGAGCATCCCCACACTCTGATTGAACAACGCGCAGCTTGTGGCTAGCTAGATATTCTGCAGTACAAACATTGTTGCAAGGTTCAGCTTCAGCGGAATAGAGATTGAGTGTCGCTCTTCCTGTTTGTCGTGCCCCTCGTGGCCAGTCATCTCCCTCAGTCTAGTACCGGGTACCAAGCTGCGGGAGAGTCTGGAGCGATGGCCACGCTGTGGCCGATGAGAAGGTAGAAGAAAATTCGGCAACGACATTTTTGGTGGCGAAGAGAATCTGGTTGGCTCGACACAGGGTCCTGTTTGCCAATATTTTATACTGCAATAGAACTTACCGTCCCACTGGATAACCCCGGTCTGATTCTAGGTCGAGTCCGAGTACATAAAGCATTGCGGCCGCTTATCAAGGGAATGGTGTCTCAAGAGTGGGTCTCCAGCCGTTTGCTCATGGCCCTTTCAAAGACGTTGTCTGGGCGGCTAACGCGATGGGTCCTGCACGAAAATGCTTCTGCCTGGGGCATGGGAACCCAGGGGTTCGTATATACTCCTGGAGTAATACCTTCTGCCTGAGGAATTTTATCGATCCCTTCCCTCGCCTTTGTGTACACAGATCGCCACCTCGGACATATTGCATCATGTACGGGCAGGAGACCAAAGGTATTCCGGCCCAAAAGAGACGTTCAAGTGGATGTGAGAAGCTGACATTCACTGTTGAAGCTTGCCCACCTTACGAAGCTCCAGCAACTGCGTGCAGCCATGCTGCACCAGTGATGTAGGTAACTGACATTTTCACCGTCAGGCTCTCCGCTTACCTCAATGACCAGGCACTATCATGCTCCAACTCCCCCAGTCAGGCTGGTATGCACAGCTGAACACTGCTGTGTTCCACCACCCCATTTGATGCCGACAGCAATCCGCGATCTTGGTCACCTGGAGGCACTGGTCGATTGTCCATACTGTGGAATAAGGGGAAAGACCAAGACAAGTTTGCTCAGCGGGAACATGAATCAGTTGGTATTTCAATCGATACTCGTGGACTGCTGCTGACACTTCCTCGTGAACAGTGCATGGGCCGCATGCTTGTTCCTTACCACCGTCTTGTTCACCTTCGCCCCTTACATGTGCAGTAGCCTGAAGAATATCGAGCATCGTTGCAGAAGTTGCGAGAAACAGCTCGCCATCTGGCATCGAAGTGGACGTACGGTGCCCAAGTAGGATGTACCATACCCAACTTCGACCACTATGCGCTTGAACCCAGCAGCTTGAGTCATTGAGAGTATGCGATGTTGAGGGATGTCTGTGCACAGATTACGCCTTTCGTGAATGAGGCTATGCAGGAAAGTCAGTCGAAAAATAGAGATTCGGCAGACGGCATCTCACTGGATGCCTGTGAATTGAAGAATGATTCCCAGCCTTGATCCAGATCCGTCATGAAGTCAAGAGAGCCAGAGACTGCTTGAAACTCGTCCTGTGCCCAAGGTAAGTCGGAGTCAAAGCTATACATACCCTCATAAGTGATTTTTGGAGATTGAGGATTGAGATCAGTACTAGGCATACCACTGGTCGAAGAGTTGACAAGACAGCCTGGATATGCTGGTGAAGACCCATGATCGCGCGACGTTTTTAGGCTGCTGGATTTCAAGTGCCGCTCCGAAGCCACGTAGAGAGTTCCAAAATAAGGGATTTTTATCCTCGGTGGGACTGCACAGTTCAAGGAGCCTTCCTCTTGAGCCAGCACTAGCAATGTAGCTAGAGTTTTCTGACATTGACGGGCGAGACCATTGACCCTGTTTTCCGCCACTCTCTGCAAGGCTTTCAGGGTTTCGTTGCTTCGCTCCATGTCATCCGGCAGAAGATGACCACCCGAGCCACAGAACGCCGCAACGACCAGTATGACTGCAGCCATAAAACCGACAAAGTCAAGCGACTGACAATCAAAAATGGGGCTGCCGTCAACGTAAGATCTCAAAGCTTGATAACGCTTCAGCAGCTCTCTTGCAGACTCGATCGCCGTCAACCTGCTGCTCACGTACAGGTGGGATGTCGGCGACTTGAGGAGATATGGTAGATGCAAGTATATCCTGGTGAGGAAGTATTGTGTCTGACATATCAGCCTTTCTCGCGATTCATTCAGGTCGGTCGAGTAAGCGTCTGTGGTAATCTTGTGGTCCCACCAATGCCTTGGCTTTGTGCTCGCTAGGGTGGTGAGCTCGTCATCGATGTCCACGATCTCAGAGAATTTCGGGCCTTTGCGACTCTGCACTTGGTCAATGACGCGGCCCGTGATCATGCCCAAGCGGATCGCAAAAGGTAGCGTTGCGTAGCCAAGTTGGCTTGTTTCACTTGCGTACGTGACAATGAAGGAGTTGTCTGAGATAGAATAGGGCAGACCGAGCAGGATAGACAAGAAGCGATCACCGAGATAGAGTGTCCACCAAGCAGCACTCCGTCTGTGGGAGCTCGAATAGTTGCGGTGCAGATTCTGGGACAAGTCAGCAACGTCCGAAGAAATTGTTCGGTGACCTGGAAGGGAGGACGACCATAATCTGAGCCAATGAGATGCCGTGACGGTTACATAGAAACGCACGAAGAGGCTGACCAACATCGAGATAAACCTTGGCGTGGAAAACAGCCAGAAGGAGTCCCTCGACGCTCCTTGCAAATCGGTCGCTTGCGAGAACAAGACGATCAACCACCGCAAGATACTCTGAAGCCTCGGCGGCATGATGACGACCGTAGGATGAGACAAGGAAGCCGAGTTCTATCGGGGTACCGATCATGTAGACTCGTTCCAGAAACTGCAGGAGGCTCTCCTTGGGAGCATCTGGCCCAAATGTCTTGATATGCCAGAAATCCCACCATTTGGTGTCTCCAGAGAAACATTGTCTCAGTTCGTTGTAGGGGGGGAGAGCAGCTCTGAGCTGTTCGCAGATACGACTTTCTCCAGCGTCCAATCTTGAAGTAGGAAATATTTGGCATTTTCTATCAGCATGGAGATTGAAATCATCTGCGTCCTGCTCCGATTGGCTCGTGTTCGCGACTTGTTGAGTTGAAAGAAGCTGCTCAGAATTCAGCCAGGCTTCCTCCCCACGCGTCAAATACCAGAAAGAAACTTGTTATTCCGTACTTGAGTAGCCTCCAATGCAGCTACGAGTGGAGCGCGGCGAGCAAGTTCAGACAGGTCATCATCCGAGTCTTGAGTCATCCCTGCATCTTGGGCCACCGAAGTCGAAGCAGGGGCTTGAGCAACAACGCTCTGCTCTCCAGAGAGAGATTCCACCAGGCGCTCCAAAGTGGCCACTCTTTCTCTTAGAGACTTCTTCTCGTCGTTTGGATCATCTATACCACGAGGTTTTGGCACGACGCAGGCAAGGCCGCGTGCGAGACATCGGGTACATTCGTTGGTGGAGTCTGCACTGTATATACAACGGATCTTCCTCCGTCTACCTACCAAGAGTTAGGCACAAAATCACACCGAACCTCGCGTCATTGGAGAGAAGAGTTCAATGAGACGGGACAAGGGAGTGAGATGGACACAGCTTACACTCAGAACAAGTCCGAGACGCCTCGCGCTGTTTCTTGGACACCCTTGAAGAGCCGGTTGATTGAGACATATCGCACAAGAGTCTGGGGGAAACCCTCTGTAGTGCTGGAAGAGTGCATGACTGGAATGTGGATGAAGAAGAGCAGCATATGAAGAGAGTAACAAGTGAGACGCCAAGCATATGCCAAGGGATCGGAGTTTATGAAAGTCAACGGAGTTTAACTCTAGCAACGCGGCCACAGCCTTGGCATCCGGAGCCTCCGTCATCCTCAGCCTTGCGAGGCTGTGGTTATTTTCACACCTTTTCCTTCTGTGGTCGTCCTTCAAGGGATGGCCTAGATGCAGAGAGATATCCGTTAGCTTCAGTCTCACTTGTCGCATCGCTTCGTCAGTCATATCCAGCCACATACCTTTGGTTCTTCCACGCCTTCAAAACCTCCCCAGCGCACCTCAAGTTTTGATGGTCTCGTCGGCCCAACATGCTTGTCAGCCAGACCCGACAGAAACGCGTGAGGATAGCCCAGGTCGATCGGAACTGCTTCCTCGATCTCTCGCATGTCGTCTTCGCTGAGCTTGATGCTCAAATTCTCGATATTGGCCTGGAGTTGCTCGATTTTCCGACACCCAATGATTGGGAACACGTACGGCTCCTGCGCAAAGTTAGCAATTGCTCGTTATCTCCCGGAAGCCAGGGCATCGTCTGCTATACCTTCAATGTGACGTATCTCAAAGCAATCCCAACAGCGTTTGTGCCCTTCCTCTTCGCAACTCGTTCCAAAGCTGCAGTGGCGCGCTCATAGGCCTCCAGCCCCTTTCCAGAGAGATCATATGCGGGCCTCCCTCCCTTTTCGGCCTTTTCGGCCTTGGTTTTGAACTTGCCCGCGCCCATTGCTTCCCAAACGGTGATGGCCATCCCTTCGGCCTTGCACATGGGGACTATGTCTCGCTCAATATCCCGGGCCACAACGTTCCACAACCCTTCGTAGACCACAAACGGGGTCAAGCAATGCTGGCGGGCATAGTCATTGGCCTTGACGACCAGCCAGGCCGGCCAGTTGGAGATGCCTAGGTACAGGACCTTGCCTTGTTTTACAACATCGTCAAGCGATCGCATCAACTCGGGGATGTTGGTCACTCCGTCCCAGGCATGCACGTAGAGGATGTCGACATAGTCTGTCCTCATTCGCTGAAGGCTCTCTGCGAGTGAGAGGCGCAGACTCTTTCTGTTGGCGCCACCAAAGTTGGACGTGATGGTTCCCTCTGGAAATTGCTCCGGGAATTTGAAGGGCAGCGCGAACTTGGTGGCGATGATCATCTGGTCTCTGACTCCGCGATCTGCCATCCAATCCCCAAGCCACTCTTCCGACTCCCCGCCCATGTAGAAGTTGGCAGTGTCAATGAAGTTGCCACCGGCATCATGGAAGCGGTCGAGGATCTCATAGCTGGTTTCTTTGTTGCAACCACCCATGGCCGCACCCCTATGCTGCTGTTAGCGAACACACTGCGGGACGGGAATGCAAGCACTGACCATAATCTTTGGCCGAAGCCCATCGCCCCCAGGCAGACGGGAGAGACGAGTATGGGCGCATTGGGACAAAGGAGACGATGCTGACCGAGTTTGGTGCGTGGCGGTGGTGCAGGTGCAGTAGCCATTATGGAGGCCTTGTCCGGGATCTGTAGTAGAGGAGACTGAGGAGGAAATTGTTATGAGAAGTGTGTGATGACTCTTTTTCTTCAGACAGAGGATAAGCACCATTTATGCTTCTCATCTTCCATGCCATTGCGCTGAGAAGCGGCCCGACGTCTCTTGTTGTATACACTTGCAGACTTGTCAATGCAGCTGCGGAGGGTGGTGGATCAAGGTGCGGCCCGCTTTTGTTCCGCTGCGCGATGCCAAGGTGTCAAAGGACTGCGAGAAAAGGGGCCATTGGAACGAAACACCTCATCTACCACCATGCACATTGTCGTAGCCAAGAGCTGCATCTACAAGTGCTATGACTACAATCACATAATGATTCCCCTGCTAGCTCATGATGGTTCCTGAATGGTACCAAGAGCGGAGTCCAATCCTTCCATCAAAGTCCAACTCGGTTCCCTCTCGTCCGCATTCCACCTTAACGCCGCCCGTGTATGTGGCTTGAGTAAAAATCCTTCCCTAACGGCTGAGAAAATCTTCCACACATGTCAACAGGATCGACTTCGAAACCCGCATCATCTGGGCCAGTACAGTCAGCAAGTGTTGATTTTGGGTTGGCAGGATTCATCCTGGACCGACCTACCCTAGCACTGAACATGAATTATCCGCCTTTGCTTGGGACGTCATGGCTTGAACAAAGCATCCAGGTCCATGACTGCTTCGAGGTAGAATGGAACTCAGGTAAGTTGCTCATCCCCAGCCTGCGTCTTTTGATCACTGGTAGTGGTACCCGTGGCTCCAGTAGGCGTTGATACTGAGGAGGTCCTGGAAGAATTGCGGTCCGCAGCTTCTCCTTCACCACAGCCCGGCACAGCGCTCCAGGCGCCTATGTACTTGAGCGCTTCATCGTTGGCTTGGGCTATGTCGGCAGACTGACACTGGCGTTCCTGCGAACCTGGCTCGAGGTTTGAAGTGCAGATCGAGCTTCCATCATTGCAAACAATAGACGACCTCATTGTCTCGGCCGGGTATGATCCATTCCCAACAGCAGGGTGAGGATGCTCGTTCGGTTTGATACGAGAAGAACCACTTGACTCGCGCCTGAACCGGGTTAGCAAGAGACATCCACAACAACTACATCAGACTCACTTCGTGGTTCCATCAGTGTTCGATTTCAGATTGTCCTCCATGATTTGTGCTGATCAGAGCCCGTCCTGCTTTGACCCGTTATGGTTGATAAAGGTAATCATCCTCCTCTTCAGACAAGCTCCAGCTCTTATAGTTTTTTTTTTCTCGGTTGCCGTTGGTTCATCTGTGCCGTCACACGGTTCGTTGTGGGCATCAGCCATTGTACGCTCCGTTTCATCGTCTTTGATTTCGAGAACCACTTTTTGCCTCCCTCTTACCGTGGTCAAAAGCGCCGGGACCAATCCAGATCGATCAAATGTTGAGTCGGATGGCAACTCCCGTCCGCCATTGATCAGAGAACCACAAGCCTCAGACCGGAGAACGAATAACATGAAGCCATCGCACCAGTCAACCTTGTTGTCTCCTTTTGAAACTTGAGATTTTATCGACATTGGCTATTCATCTTTTGTCGACCCGCCTTCTCTCAGGCACCACCAGGAAGGCCAGAGGACGTTTATGTCTGCATGATGCATGCACCATGCATAGCCTATCAAACAGGGTCCGAGATTGATTCAAGAAACAAGCGACGAGCCCTTAAGAAAACTCCCGTCGTGATTATTGGTCATTGCACTTTTGCTTCCCTCAGAATGATGGCGGTGGCTGGTGGGTGAGCAGCCATAGCACAAGCGATTGGTCTTTACTCCTTTGAATCTTTAATCCTTTGAATCTTTGCTCCTTTGAATCTTTACTCCTTTGAATCCACGTCTCCTGGCTTTTGTGGCCTCCTTCCACCGTGTGACACCAGACTCCGCTAGCCATGGTTGCCTTTCGAAAAGGGTTCGATCCAGTCACCACAAAGCTGGTCGCGTCGCCCAAGAAGTCAAGGACTCGGCCGTGGTCGTGGTCGTGGTCAGGAAATTGTTGCTAGCAATTTTCCGCCTTGCAGCTGGGACAGATGTCCTCCCAAGGCTGCGAGCACACATACCTGGCAATTCTCATTTAAGTATGGCTCCTCGACGCGCCTTGAAAAAAGGAAACCATTATCCTTAATCATCTCTTTCCATCCCCCCGCCACCATACCTTCTTACTTTGAACCAATTTCAAGTCTCCCAAACAAGTCATGGACCAGAACTTCAGCCTGCAGTTTTCCGACTATTGATCTGATCTGCTTCTTGCAGAGAAGTGGAATCGGCTGAAGCCCGCAATCGCCCGCCTCTACGTGGAGGAAAACCGGAAGGCTGAGGAGGTGCAGGAAATCATTCGCCGCCAGTGCGGCTTCGATCTTGGGTAAGTCCCCCTCAATGCCCATGGACTTCTGACTCTCTTGACCCGGGAAAACGGCCAACGGTTTTCTGTTGCAGGATCCATCAACTCAAATACCAGATCAGAAAATGGAAGCTGAAGAAGAACATCCCGACCCCGGCCAAGACCAAGATGTTCGAGATGAAGGAGTCAAGAGCCTCCAGAGGAAAAGAAACAGTCTTCGAGTACCATGGAAAGGCGGTCGATAACAAAAAGCTCGCTAGACTGGCCAAAAATATGGTTCACAAGATCCCAGGAGCAAGGAAGGAGATGACAAAGCTCGATATCACGCCTGGAATGTAAGGTTCTCCTGCTCGTCGCTTGGAGAGTCACTTACTGACAAGGTTCCAGCTTCATCGTGTGGAACATGCCTTATGGGGCACTGCGATACTCTCAAGCAGGCCCGATCAACCACATCTCGCCCAACGTTGTAGCATCTACGCCTGCTGGAAACAGTGACATTGTGGCAAGAACCCCAGGGTTGTACGGAGCGCAGAGTCCAGCAGCCGACTCTCCATCCAGGCTTTCTAGGGCCCTGAGGACAAAAACAGCCCTGGAGAGGGCATACTTGTTCGTGGAAGGGAAGCACAACGAGCTCCTCAGGTCAATGGAGAGGTCCGAGCGAATGTGAGTGGCCGTTGCTCAAAGCTTCATTCTCGCCTGCGATTTGCTGACATGACCCAGGACCATGGCTACATGGCTGTATCATTTCTGGCTCTTTGCATACAAGACGGCCAGATACTGGGGAAGAGGCCCTCACAACTGGACCGCAGATCTTCTCGAGCTTGACAAGTACATGGAAAACCTCTCCATCTCTACGGTTGGAACGCCGGGTGGGCCTGGGGCAAGCTCAGATGTCGAACAACGCCATGTTCCCGCAAGTCAATGGCTCTCAGATGGCATTACCCCAAGCATCCTCTGTAACTGGGGGGTCCATGTTCCCGGAATGAGCTATGAGCGCGCTCCGCACGACTTCGAGGACGACGACTCTGACGACGACGAGGACCACTCTGACAACGAGTGGAGGGGCTGGCCACAGGCGTGGAAGCGCGACAGCTTCGTCAAGAAGCTTCACACCGCCCTGTCGCAAGATCTTTTCAGCAATATCGATGCCGACGACCTTCCGATCGCGCTCTCTCGCCTCTTGACAAATTCCAGTGGTACTAGAGATCAGTTTCTTGAGGAAGGTCTGGCTTTCAGCATCATAGGCCGCAATGTCGACCTCATTTTCTCGCTGGCGAGGACGATTAGGCCCCGTGAAGTTGATGTCAAGGGCCTATTCCCTTTCCATCTGGCCACTACTTATCTGTGTGGGTCGAACCCGTGTTGCAATGCTTTTGCACGACTGCTCTATCACCACGACATGTACCCCATCAGGGCCATGTACATCAACGACCGCGGCCATACAGTTCTGGACAATCTCATGATTGTCATTGTCAAGGCGCACACAAGCTGCGTTCCTGTCGACGTGGATGAGAAGATGAAGTCTCAGAGACGTTTCGCGGGCGAAGAAGTCGACGTATGTGGAAGATGGGATGCCGATTCCGAAGAGATCAGAGCTCTTTTGGCCAGGAGGTTGTCCAGGATTCCCTTTGACTGGAAGCACAAGTTCTGTCACACCTCGACCCAGGTCGTGTGCCACTGCATCAGCCTTATGTTTGGTGCTCCCTGGAAGCCCGACATCAACCATCCAAGTGGCCTGTTCAAGAAACAGTGTCAGCACTGCACACTACGCTTAACACTGCTGCCACTCCACACATTGGTAATGGTTGCATTCCTACTCGCCGAACGAGGCTGCGAGGAGGAGGACCTATTCGGCATCATTGCGTGCTTGATTCGCCTGCTCTCGAGAGGCGCGAACCCGCTTCTAAGTTCGAGGCTGTCAGCGCCGGTATTGTATGGCACGGATCAAGATGTCTGTTGCACTCACGAGACCCTGACGCCTTTGCAGCTTGTGGAACGCTTGCCTCAGCAGTGTTTGCAAAGATGGACTCCTGCTATCCGCACTGGCTGGATCATTCTTAGCCATGTGCTCAGACTTTCGGAGAGAGCCTGGCGCCCAAGTACAGCTCAAGCCACGACGAGCCCAACCCTTGACTTCAGTCGGTTTATTAGCTATCCTGACGATGAGTACGACCGTTATGCAGGCGATTCGATTGATGTCGACCCTGCTGGAGATGCGATGGATATCGACCATGACACAGTCAGTGATGATGTTGTCGATGAAGACATCCATCACTGTTACGAGTGTGGCAACACCAACCACTTTCGCGGCAGCCACCAGCTTCGTGACCTCTGGGCAGCCATACAAGCAGAGCTACTCACATATAGACGTCTAAGGGACGGGCACAGATGGGTTTCGCCAAACTTCAACATGGATGAAGTGCTTCGGAGTCTCGAGAGAGGTCGCCCGGTCCAGGTCGGTCTGATTGAACGCAAACTGCTCCGCGACTACTGTGACTGCGGCAATTTCCTTGCTTCCAAAGACCATGACTGCCCGTGTGTCGACATGGTTTGTGCCGAATATTTTTCGAACCTGGAAGAATGGGAGCGCACGACATTCTTGTGGTGTCCGGAGAAGGGGTGGCATCAGGCGGAGGCCTCAGACAAAGAGGACAACGACTATAACGACCCAGACTATCCTGACGAGGAAGAGAGTGACGACGAGGATTTCTGAAGTGTCGTGGTTAGTCGTGGTGGTGTTTACGAGCTTGGAGTCTTTCTTTGCTCTGGCTGACATCTGCTATCAGAAGGAGGAGTTATAGGAATCATGGCATGTCAGGGGATCAGGGGACCATGGAATAATCAACAAAAAAACAAAATAGGCATGACTTTCGCACCTTGTCGTCGTGGCTGGTCATGACGGTATTTCTTTACTTTGGCAGGCGAAACAAGGCCGTCTGTTCCACCTGTCTGGGAGGGGATCTGTATGTAGGCGTTCCAGAGCCTCCTAACGTGATATTGACTATCTGTCACCCAATTTGTTCCCGTGTTTGCTACTCGCACATTTACTAATGTGGCGTCGTCGATATGCGTTGGGCTGGTGGCGCTCAAAAGGGGACCGGATTGGGACGCGGCCAATTTCCACCGGTTTTGCTAGAACAAACTTAACCATCGTTTTTTTCACTCTCGAGACTCGACCCTTGTGTAACATTTCACAGTCCGAGGACGCGTTGCCTCTCGATCATGCTGGTCCAATACCACAGCTCGAGATGTATGTTTCGCCTCAACTCTTATCGATCGAAGAGCAGGCTGAATCTCAGAGTACCTTGACCACCCCAACACCAACACCAAGCCACATTCCTACACGGACCAGTATCGGCATGTCTCAATACACTGGGCCCAAGAGGTGGAGACCATCTAATCCAGAGCCGTGGCGTAGCTGACAATTCCCAAAAGCCATGATACGCCCGTCTAGACCCCCCTCTAGAGAGCCTTGTATGGTCCAGCAGAAGATGCGAATCCCAGCCCGGACCGCCTCTGCCGTTATTGTTGCCCCCAAAAGCAAGCCTCCCGCAACGACGTGTGTGCCCATGGCCGCCTTGACATCTAATAGTCGACCGGCAGAGTTTTCTACTCCCTGATATTACAACGTCCACGCCGCACTGGGCTGGCGTTGGGAGAGTGGGCACGCGAGCCATGGAGTCGGAGGTACCGAGCACATATCTTCAGCAGCTGAACGGGGAGTATAAAGATCCAGAGAGACCCGCCAGCAAACGGCCAACGCTCTCTCCTCGTGGCCTCGCTTCCTAGCGTTCGGTTCCTCTACCCACCTCGCAGACGATGGATCAAGCGGCAAATCTCACCAGCGGCACCGGAGCGACTCTCGCCGCCGTCCTTCAACATTGGCATCACAAGGCAGTACCTCGAAAAGCCGGAGTTGAACCTCTACCAGACGAGCCGAAAAGAGCATACGCAGGCACAAAGGTCGACATCACCGAGTTGCAGCCCTGTACACCGAGAACACCCAACAAGACGTTCTCGGAACCGCCCCTGCGAGAGTGGCCCCAGGAACCCGTCCCCATCACCAATGAACCAGTGGTCGAGCGATGTCTGGACGCCGTCGACGTGATCTTGTGTCTCCTGCCCTGCGTCCTCATCGTCAAAGCCGGGCTCTGCGTCCTGGCTTCTGAAATTGACAAGACCCACGTGGGTGCCTCGATCGACAAGACCAGTCAACTGACCCTCCGCCTCATCGAGTTCAACAGCCAGCTCACCACCATTTTCACCATCATCTTCATCGTCATTGTCTCCACGACCGTGCGGCGGTATGCGCTGTGGAAGGCAGAAAAGGGGGCTACCCTCGGGGAAATTGAACAACTGCACGCATCCATCAGCTTAACGGCGACCCTCAAGGCAATCTGGTCCCTGCGGCGGTTCACACTCACGGGCTTGAGCCTCGTCTTTCTCTGGTCCTGGTACTACGTGGGATCTCAGGCGGCGTCACGGGAGTACTCGTACAGGGACTCGGCCAGCTTTGGGACTCAATCGGTCGCATTTCTCAGTTCGAACGCAGTGTCTCCGTTCCAAGGAGACCAGATCGACATCGACAAGGTCTCGCCGGTCAAACTGACCGACATGACGGCGCGGTACCATTTGTACAGTTCTTTCACAGCGGGCACGCAGCAGACCAACGTGCAAGGCGTCCGAGAGGTACAAGGCGCCGACATCTACGGCGCCACTCTGACCCCGTGGTACGGCCATCCACGCGACAGTTCCTCACTCGACCTCGATCGGCATGGCTGGTTGGAGATCCAGCACATGTCTGATCAGCCCGTCATGTCGTCGATCGGAACATCCTTGTACTGGCTGAACCGGACTGCCGGGGTGAACGCTTGGACACCGCAGAAAATGGTCGGGTCTTTCGTCTACCAGGTGTCCAACTTCCAAGCCAACTGCACGGCGCCGTTCCTGTCCACGAAGGCGAAGCCCAAGGGGTCGCTGCCCGCCGTGTCGACGACGATGAACATGACGACGATGCCGTCGGACGCGGGCCAGCCCCGTGAATTGTACTTCTGGAACTTTGTCAACGACACGCACAGTTTGACCTCGGCGTGTGAGATGACCAACGTGACGGTTCAGATCGAGGCCATCTGCACGGCCGCGACCTGCAAGCCCACTCGGATGAAACACATCAGCACGTCTCCGCGCACCTTACTGGACTCTGACGTCTTCGCGACGCCCTTTTTCAACTCCATGCTCCTGGCGTGCGGCCTGCCGCAACACGAGGGCGACTACTCGACGTTCGACAACGACAACGGCCTTGTCGATCTCAAGAACGACCTCGCGCAACAGACGCTCAACGATCCCTCACAACTCGAAAGGGCCAGCGCGGACGCACAATTCCCCCTGTCCATGGCCATCACGCGGTACATGAACACGTACTTCACGTCGTCGCAGATGCTGCGATACGAGCACGGCTTCCAGGACGACCTGGCGGTGAACGGGTCCATTGCGCTAACCCAGCACGGCTCGGACTTCAGCTTCCTGGCCATGGACGGCGCCCTCTACAACCCGCAACACGCCCTGTCCTGGCCGTGGCTGGCCATGGACATCGTCTCCAACATGGTCCTCCTCGCCACGGCCATGGGCGCGCTGTGGCTACGGAAGCACACGCTGGCGCCGGACATCTTTGGGTTTGTGAGCAGCTTGACGCGAGACAACCCGCACCTGAACCTGCCGGAGGGAGGGAGCACCCTGTCGGGGATCGAGCGCAGCAGGAGGATGAAGATGGTCAAGGTAAAAATTGCGGATGTGGGAGAAGACTCGAGCGTCGGGAGGGTGGGTTTGACACAGGTGGACGGGTTCGAAGAGGCGAAGGACTTGGAAAAAGGCAGGACTTATTATTGATGAATTACCAGTATTGACTGACATTGGCGATGGGTTCATGAGGAAATATGCCTAGGTAATTAATGACACGGCCGTTTGTCTTTTCATTTCCACCATACATCCATCATACCTTCCCCTCCGAAATCCCGTTTCATTCCCACCTCGTACCACTAAGTGAGTGCCCGCGAGAACTCACCTACTCATCCTCTTCCCTCTTCCCTCCTCATCCCTCCAGACTATCGAATCGTAAATCCGCCATCGACCCTGAGATCCGCGCCATTGATCATGCCACTGTCGTCTCCACAGAGAAACTCGATTGCGCTGGCGACCTCGTCCGGGACGGCAAACCTGCCCGTAGGGATCTCGGCGAGATGCTTCGCCCTCTTGTCTTCATCCGCCCAGGCCTTCGCGGCCAAGGGCGTCCACGTCACGGTGGGCGAGACCGTGTTGGCCGTGATGCCCTTGGGACCCCATTCCGAGGCCATACAGCGGGTGAGGCCGAGCAAGCCGGCCTTGGAGGCGCAGTAGGCGCCGTGGCCGTCGAGGGCGACGTGGGCGGCCTGGGACGCGATGCTGACGATGCGGCCACCCGGCACTGGGGGATTCTCACCGTTCGAAAGTGCGGCGGCGGCTCTGGATCGGTAGAGGTGGTAGAAGGCGGTGCTGCAGTTCAACGGGCCCAGCAGGTTCGGGAGGATGTTGCGCATGGCCTCCTCGGCCGACGTGTCCTCGAGAGGCTGCACCGAGACATAACCCGCCGCGTTGATCAGGATGCTGGGAAAGGCCTTGTAGACGGAAGCGTCCGCCAGTTTGCCGTCCTGGCCCAGAACCTCCCTGACCGAGTCCTCGGACGTGATGTCGCATTCGAACGTCCACACCCTGTCCGGCTTTTCAGACGAAAACACCCGTTTCACCGTGTCGGCCACACGATCCCGTTCGAACGGAGCGTATAGCAAAGCCACATCTGCTCCCCGCGCATGGAGACGATGGGCAATCGAGGAGCCAAGTCCGCCTGTGGGCATGTTGAGCAGTGTCACTCACATCTCTTTCGGGGGAAATACGGAAAACTCACCGATGCCACCGGCTATGATTGCTAGACGTCCTTCCAATGTAGTAGCCATAGTGGGAGAGAGGTGGTACATCAAGAGCCGGTCAGACTCCAGGGCGAATACCAGCAGCTTTTGTAAAATATCGATGTCTGTCTGGTTCTTTGACCCCGCACATGCTCACAGGTTCCGACAGTTTCAAAGTTGAATACAGCCTGATATCGAATCGGCTGGTGTATCGCCTTTCCATCCGTTCATCATCACCTCGTGTTAGGTATAGCTCTTGGGGTTTCTATACTGGTTACCCGCTGCCCCCTCCCGCCTACATACTAGATCTCATGCTCTCCACCTTGTATTGTCTCTACCATGTTACCCAACAGTACGATAGAACGTCATTTAGATGCCAATAGACACCCACAGCTTCGGGTTGATCTTATGTCATTAAATCCGGCACCAAAATATATACCTAATAGTTGCAGCTTCAAACTCTTTGCGCTCTGGGAATTTAACGCTTCCTCCGTCCCTTTGACAAACTGCTCGCTCCTATAACAGCCTGCTATGTAACTTCGCAGCTAGCCGCAAACCAAAAATATTGTCTCGGATGACTCCCACCATTGCTACCCCTTCGACCCCGAAATCTCTCGCCGAAAGTGGTATGAATTTTCAGCTCGGCGATATGGCGTTTCGTCCGTGTCGGTGGAATTCCAAATCTTTCTGTGGACCACGATGTCCTTAAGCTGGGTCGAATTTCGCAACCAGCAGGTGTTTGGGGCTTTGCTCCTTCACCGACGCTGCCAGAAGA